ACCCTTAGTAAATTTTAAGGTTATTCCAAATATTACCGTTGCAAATAATTTTAACTTTAACGGTAACCGGCGATATGGTGCAACTCACCCTTAATATAATAAATCGTAAACACACTTCTTCGTATCCTAGAATGTTAGCAATCACAGCATATTTTTGAATAATCCTTTCTTTAATAAAAAGCTCTACACTTACGCTTTAGGCTACATCTTTACGCTATTAAACTTAGGGTGTAAATAATTGGAAAACCCTCATGTGGGAAAGAGACCATAAACTACATGCTGCCAACATTAAGGAAGCAAGGTTATTATGGTAACGATAATTTTGATATTTGTAATTCAGTATTTGACAAATGTAAACAATGAAGTAAAGTTTTTACAAATTCATGTGGATGAAGCCGCACGAGAACAGCAAGTTAGTATTATAAGATATCACGGAGAAAATTTGATAGAATCGTATCTGAACAACAAAATTTGATGGCTTTCCATTCCATTCCATTTTTAGTTTACAAGGTATAGTTACAGTAGTGAAAATATCATACTAACTAATATTATAAATGCGAAAGTTTAGATGGATGGATGTTTGTTAGAGTTTGTAGCCATAACGGCTAAACGGATCTGAATGAAATTTGACATATATGTGGCACATAATGTGGAAGAACATATAGGCTACTTACTTTTGTTATTTCAATTCCACGCGGACGTAGTCGCGGGCGAACACTAGTTAAACAATATATTGACGGCGGTGCCATTCATGCAGGGAATTAATATAGTTTGTTTTAACCTTGGAATAACAAAATATAACGTTTTGTTTAGATGTTAAATATTTAATTTTATAAATAAAGAGACGGAAAAGAAAAGTAAGACTTTTTTAATAAGGCTACAGGATACGGTAGCTCCGATTAACCAAATTTCCTGCAACATTCTTAGACCACTTACTTGAATTAGTTACTTTAGGAAATTAAACATTAGAGTAAATTAGTCTTTTATTTTTAGCGTAAATATTAGCGTGTATTTTTAATTTTATTTATGTGGTTATTATTTTGCTGCGGAAACTAGACGTCTATTTTTTGTAAGCAATAATTATAAATGCCGATCTCTATATTAAATAGATAGTAGTTAAAGACAGCCGTTACTAAGTTTTCATGCAACTGTTGAAGATAATGACAATTTAATCTAGTATCAGTTCAAATTCTCACCACGTTTACAACCGCAACCGTCAGCGCCAAGATGGCGGAAATCAAATACGCACAAAATACCACGCTTTATTACCTGTCAGATTAATAGAGGTGAATGCATAAATGACATTTAAATAATAAAACATCAAAAATACAATGTCATGTCACGACCATATTGAAAATAAAACGTTTAAAAATATCTGTCAAGTGTCAACACTTGTTTCAGTGGTATTTATAATGTTTATTACAGTAAGGTGTAGATTAACAGAATATGGAAACTAGAAACAAAAATAAAGACAAATCGAAAACACGGCCTTTGAGTAAAGATCGAACTGTACCATCGTCTTCGAGGGACGCTGGTCGAGTGCTTGTGATCAAAGATGAACCGGAATCTCTCATACCGTGGTACCGGAGGCTAGGGACATTTCTTTACGACAACGAAAAACGTACAGTATGCGAAAGATCACGTAAGAGTTGGTTGTATATTACTGCATATTCAATTATGTATCTAATATTTCTTTGCACGTACACGATGATATTTTTGTTCGCCACATTAACTATAATAAAACTACAAGGAGATTATCAAGTTATTGATAAAACTGCATTACTAACGTATTCCGATCATGGTATAGGATTATCAGCGACGCCAACTGGTCTTAGCAACACACCGTTGATCTGGTACAAAGAGAATGACGAGAAAAGCTATCAGAAATATATTAAAGCAATAGACAATTTACTGTCAGATAATACAAGGAAAAGAGCAAACAAAACTGAATTAGGTCCTTGTGGAAGTCCACCGTACGGATACGGAGAAAAACCTTGCATTATTATAAGAGTTAATAAACACGTAGGATGGTCTGTTAAACCAATACATGAAAATTCAACTTATTACAAAGATGTTCCAGCTAACATAAAGAAATTATTAGAAAATAAACAAGAGAAATTATATTTGACATGTGATGGATTTCATTCATACGATAAAGAGCATATTGGTAAAATAGAGTATTACCCTAATCCTCCGGGAATAGCTGCGGATGTATTCCCTTTGGATATGTACGGTAGTTCGCCGTTGTTAGCTGTACAGATATCTGAATTCACGTTAGGCATGTCTATAGCTATTGAATGCAAAATGTGGTACGATGGACCAACATCATCTCTTCATTTCCTACTGTACGTCACACCTAAGAACGTAGCAGTGTAAATAATAAGCTTACTAAATTAAATGAAAATTGTAAAAATGAATTTTGTTTTAATGTTTTATACCCATTAACATTGCTTACTATTATGGTGGTGGTGAAAATTGATTCATTCTTAGGCTTCAAGTAGCAAATCAGATATAGCCAATCGGTTGATCAGAATAGACTGGTCAATCACCAGGGGTAAAAATAAGCAACGCCGATAGTACTGTAGAAATATTACCATAAAAAAAAACAAATTAATTATATACTGGACTAGCTGTTCCTCTGCGACTTCATCCGCATAAAATTATGTTTTTTTTATTTTATTGTTTACATTTGTCAAATTACAAATGTCAAAATGTCATGACATGATGACAACCTTGCTTCCTTGATGTTGGCATCAACTTATGGTCTCTTTCCCACAGTAGGATTTTATGTAAAATATTTACCCCCCAAGTTTAATGGCGTGAAAATATATAGCCTAAAGCGTGACGTAAATTACTGACATCTTAGGCAACAAAGAAGTGTGTGTTTATGCTTTATTATAACAGTATAGATTATGCTGCTTCATTTTAAAAAGTATGCAATTGGTAGATCGTAATTACAGTGTACATCTGTTAGATTTTGGGTCTAATCAAGTTGGACACCCTTGTTTCTATACAATATGCCTTCTTCTTTGTCGCTTGAGTCTTTACAGACTTATCCTGGTTATCACGTATCACTGACCCGCTTCACAAGACGCCGCCACTCTTCCCTGTACGCTGCTTTTTTCGCACATTGATGCAACGGTACGTCCATGGCCGTTCTAATCTGGTCAGTCCATCTCATAGGCGATCTTTCTCTAGGTCTGGTGCCACAATATGCCTACAGATAACAAAAGTTTTAAACTAAGAACACGAAAATGACGCTACAAAACTTACTTTGCCGCTTTTTAGGAAGTCATCAATTATTTTCTAATCTCATAACAAACAGCAGGAAACTATTTCGTCAATGAAATATACATTGTTGTAATGTCCAATATGCGAAGTATGATTCATGTCATTTTCCTCGCTACATGACGCCTCATTTTCTCAACATCATTTGAACATAAGCTTATTATTACTACTCGTATTAACAATACATATCTCTGGAATATAACGAAAAATTCACATATGTTTAGTTCACGTTTTACACTTTCCTGTATAGTGAATATTAATAATTTACTTTTTATAAGTTACTAGCTTTCACCCGCGACTATGTTCGCGTGGAATAAAAAAACAAAAGCTAAGTAGCCTATGTATTCTTCCAGACTATCCTCTACATCCATGCAAAATTTCATCGAAATCCATTCAGCAGTTTAGGCTACAAACTCTAACAAACATCCATCCATCTAAACTTTCTCATTTATAATATTAGTAAGATTGAAAGGTACTAGATAAGTACAAAATAATTTGTAAGTCTTGTTAATGTTACATTAAGAAATAACAACCCTATACCTTGTGGCTACGACTAAATAAGGTTTCGTATTCCATTTCAATTCGTATTCGACGTTTTTGAGGTTTCTATTAATTATTCATCCATTCGTTTATATTTTTGTAATAGACACTGTATTTCAATAAATGTTCAAGTTAGAGAGAGTGAGTGAAAGAGACAGATTTTTGCCCTTTCTTTGTTTTTTGGATAATCATCATTAATTTTCCTTAGTGCCTACGGAGAGTCGGCACAAATGTGCTGCTCTACCGTACATTTCTATCAGCCCTCATATCTGAATCTACTCTTGCAAACATCCGTACTTTCTTCTATTTTCTTCTACTGTCTCATTAAAGTCACATTTTTTTTTTTATAACATAAGGTGGCAAACGAGCAAGCGGCCACCTGGATCCGCCAAAATGGCGAAGCGACCGCTGCCCATAGACATCCGCAATTGCAGATGCGTTGCCTACCCTTATACGACGGAGGAAGAGACGCATATAAAGAGGATATTTCCCCTTCCTATGCATCTCCTCCACCGTCAAATCCACTTCCCCTTCCCATCCTCTCCTTATAAGAAAAGGGCGGTAAAGGGAAAGGGACTTAAATTAGGCCTCCGGCACCACACTCATCAGACGAAACACGGAATTGCTACCATTTCACGCCTGTCTTCTGTGTTCACATTAAACTTTAATACTTGTTTTCACTATAATGACCTATTATTAGACTAAGGTTAAAAAAAAACTAAATTAATATTTATTCAATAATTTATTAATACACTAATAATTCAATTTTATATTCACACTATAAGATTCATTAAGTAGATACAGTAACTTTTTAAATCGAATTTGTTTTATTAATGTCATGTTTCTAGCAGCAACATAGATTCATAGCATAGTAACGATACCAAATAAACAAGTATGACTAACAGGGACTTATCTGTTGAGTTTCCACTGTCTAAATACATGTATAACATATTCTCTCTTCGATAAACAAGAGTATGTTTTAGGTGTTTAATTAGTGAAAACTCACAGTATTTTTTGATACACAATCTTTTAAAACTTAAACATATACGTCTATTTTAATATTAATTAATAAAAAAATATTTCGATAAGTAAAAAAATCAATCAAAATCCGACACAAATTATATTCATTCAATAAAAAAATCAAATCATATTAAATTCTATTATTTGAAAATATGAACACATTAAAACTTAAAAATATTGTAAAATAAACTGTAAAATGCTTATACTTAATTGTATCATTAATCTGTATTTAAATTTATAAACAAACATTCAAATAACTTAATCGTAACTTAACTCTGATAAGTCCCTTGTAAGTCAAACTACTGTTAGAAGTAACGACTTAATCCGATTGGAGAATATAAAACCTTCGCTAATCATAATTTAAAAAAATATCAATTACGTCGTTTAAAACTACATTTATGTTGGAATTTGTAGCTTTTAGTAGCTTATATTTCATAGCTTTGCCTTGTCAGCTCAACTAAACTTAAAATGCTCTTACCGAAAACTTCTGTAACCCTTAACTTGGCAGATTTTTTTTTTTGAATATCAAAATAATATTCATAGCACTTAACCTTGATGACCCAAGGTGTTTAGAAAAAAAAATTGATGTATCTCTACAGATACACTAACAAGAAAAGGGGGGTAATAATTTCAATTATTAATGAAACACTAAATAGTACTTTAAAAATGAGATTTTCCAAGTTAAAATAAAAATTTAAACTGTCCCTTCTGGTTTTGCATTCCATATTATAAATGTTTAAATCATCAATCGGATCAAGTTGTTAATATCAAGAACTTTTATAAAGATCGATAAATCTATACTTAAAATACTTAGTTGGCACTATCTATACCTATCACATCCGGACCTTGCAGGTAATATTGATAAAAATAATTTGCATGTATTCAAGTTACAATTAAGTAATTGAAGTCAAAACGTAAGATATCATGTTCTGCTATGAAAATTTTCGCTCAGTGAAAAGTCAAGTTATAATCAAATATCACATTTTAAGGGTTCCACTGATTTTTTTTAAAATAAATGATTCATATTTTTTATATTATTAAAAATTACAATGATAAAACAATATTCACTGATATTATAGTTATTAATTTTATAAAAAAAATAGTAACAAATTCTGTAATAAAATTAAATATATTGTCGTTAATCCCGTTTTGTTTCATAACTTCGCGTTAAGGCAAAATTTTTCAAGAAAGACATTGAATCCTTAAAATGTATCAAACAGTAAAGTTTCTTTTAAACCTTGTTATTGAAGAAATCATTGGAATGTTACATTTTTGACGCCCTTTAGGGTCTTAATACACCTTAATATATTTTAAAGCTACAATATTTGCATATGCGTTGAATCTATAAAGCTATAAATACCGGAATTCATATGCAGATTTTCGTAAAGAATTTTGAAAATTTTGATTTATTTATTTCACTAATTAAATTTGAAAATTAGTGTTATTTCGAAAAGACATAATTGCAAAAATTGTAGTTTCAATAAATTGACATATTGAAAAGCTAACGTAATAAAGAGGCTATATTAGGCTAACATTAAAATCAGCTATACAATTCCCGTTCAGGCTAGCAATAATCATCGTAGGCTTATCAAAAATAGAAGGATTAGAGTAATACATATCACAAAATATATTTATTGTTATGATGCGACTTTGTTTTCCATACCATAGCAGAAATAAATAACATGCTTCGTCAATTAAATAAACAATATTGAAAACCTAAAATAACAATTTCAAATAAACAATATTTATCATCATGCCCTTGTCCCTTATAGAGGGTCGGCACAGTATATGCTCTTCCATACATCTCTATCAGCCGTCATATCTGAATCCACTTTCTTAAGCACATCCTCTTTCACACAATCCATCCATACTTTCTTCGGTCTTCCTCTTCCTTTGTAGCCTTCAACATTCATTCTTAACACTTTCTGATTTATGTCCCCATCGTCTCGTCGCATAACATGTCCATACCACGCTAACCTTTTGCTTCTCAATTTCTCCACCAATAGCGCTACTTTCAAATTTCCTCTAACATTATTAATTTCAAAGAAACAATATTAAATCTTAACAAATACGAAAGTTTACATTTTAGTTAGTTTAAAAATGGAATGGTATTGAAAACAAATATCTCAGTGCCTTTTTCCGCTAAGAAGCTGATCACTGGGTGAAGGTGGGACTCAGTGGAAATAGGCACTTAATGTAGGCCTGACACCATATATTCAGACTGGACCACTGAAGAAGAGGTATCTGATTCACTCGTTAAATGTACAGAAATATTGGAAATACAGAATTAATTCTATGCAATCAATTGTAGGTGCAATTATCGTATCTAGCGTGCACTCTAACACAATACAACTACTGATTCAGAAAGATTTATAGGAGAAAATAAAGAACAGAAACCTATAAGAAATTGAAACAGAGAGAATTTTTTTCAGTCGAATCTAATTTATCAAAGATTTATAAGACAAATTACAGCATACAATATAGAACGTTAGCTACCGAATATGTTATAAAATATTTATTTAATTTAATAACCAGATAAACTTTGAAGAAAACAACGAAGTTTTAAATTTTACCGATAGCTTAACTAATTTGTAATTGTATAAGAAGAGATTTGAAAAATACAACACCAATTCAAACAGAGAAAGGTAAAAGGTGTAGCTATATAGACAATATATTTTAAAAAGTGTCAAACAATAAAATTATATAAACTTTTGTAAGACATTTTATAACTAAATATAATACGGCTGTTAAGTCTACTTTTTTCGGTGACGGCACCGACCAGTTTCAGACCCTGCGGAGGTCCTCGCACTGGCGCGACGCGACCGACACACAACCGCATTAACCCTCGCCTTGAAAGACCCGCAGGGTCTGAAACTGGTCGATACCGTCACCGAAAAAAGACGTAACAGCCGTATAATATTTAGTTATGGTAAAACAAAATAACAACTATTAGGGATATTTTACATTGATCCGTTATGATTATAACTAGTTAAGCCTAATACACAAACAAATACATCTATAAATTATATTGTTAATATTAATAATGGACGAACACATATCATTCGAGCGAATGCAGTCTACTTAGAGAATAATAATTAAGTCATTGCTTTCAATTCAACTAATCTTAATTCGAATTAAATGCAATATCTACATGACATTAAGTGCACTTCCAGATACTTATAATACATTGATCTTAGTCTTTACTTTACGCGTTCTGATCGAAATATTAAGAAAATCGTTAAAACCAGACAGTGCACAAAATGTGTAGATCTTGAACATTGAAAAAAGCAAAACACTCTGTATATTAAAGTGGAACAAAAAAGTGCACGATAAAGGGGCAAAATCTCAACAATAACATAAATAGATTGAATCTCTAAAGATCATGCGATTATTTTTAAACCAATAACAAATTTTCTTGGCTTCTTATCCCTCATAATATCCATTCCTAATACCAATTGTACAATTTTATAATCACCGAATCTCGCGTAGTCTTAGGATTCCATCAAAAACACTAACTAGATTTTGGTTTATACAGAAACGCTACTAGGCCATATAACGATACAATCCGAAGTTTAACTATCAACGTCTCACTCATATCTGGTAAGTGAAATTATATACTAAAGTCTGTTAACATCCTTCTCTGATTTTCCCTTATCACTTCTCAAAATGTATAAACCGTTGACAGTATTCTATAAAACTCTTCGTAAATTCCTAGAAGCCAAAACAGTCCTCAGATATAAAGATATGTCAAAACCGACATGCAGAGAATAACGATTAAATTTGGTGACAACAAAAATCCTCGGCTCCAACTGCAGTCTAATTCCTTTGATAGTACCTGGAAAGTAAGAAGGGTTAGATATCTCAAAAAACTTGAACTAAATTTTATTATAGGCTTGAATTATTCTTTAAGCTATACTGAAGTATTTTATTTATCGAAGAGGGTGGAATCATAAATCTATACTTCTATACAATTACAATAAAGCGTAAACAAACACTTCTTCGTGGCGTATGATGTCTGCAATCACACCATAATTTTGAATAATTATTTTCTTAATAAAAATCCGGTTACGACACACTTTATTATCACGCCATTAAACTTAGGAAGTAAATATTTTGTATAAAAACCCTAATATGGGAAAGAGACCATAAGTTGCTGCCAACATCAAGGAAGCAAGATTGTCAAGGTTGTCATGTCATGTCATTTTTATAATTTCATGCTAATGAAGCCGCACGGAAACAGCTAGTTAGTTAATAAAAATAAACTTACGTCAATTAAAGTTCGATTGCTGTACAACGGACAGACGGAGAATCTTACATCGTCTCGCGTCGCTTCACAGTCTGAAGGACTGTCACAAAGGTATTGTCTTCTCTTACGATCCCAAGCTTCAATCCATCTAAAAACAAACGATAAAATTATTTTCATCATTTATTTAAGTATAACATTTTCATTACTAGAATAAGGACTTGAACTTGACGTCAAATGTTACTCAAATTATTATTTTTTATTCCAAAGATTCGTTGTTAATATTAACAGTGAAATTTTCAAGAGATTCTTACCCAATTCCACAATCGCAGGCAAGAGGATTTCCAGCTACTAATATATCATGGAGGAACAATTGGTTGGGTACGCCAGGCCATTCCTTTTGAGCTGGATTAGGTACTCTAGCCAATCTGTTATATCTAAGATCCAAAGTCAAGTTCTTAATACGTCCTGGCTTCCAGAATACCTCGCTCGAAATGTCCTCGACGCTAGTGTTGTGTATAGTCAGTCGTAAGACCTTTGATTGCACTCCCTGGAACATGTTAATAAATAAATAGAAGCTTTGCTAAATTAATTTTCAATCTTATAGCTAGGTGTTAGAGACTCTAATCGCCAATCAGAATAAGGATGTTAAATGATCCGATTGATGCGATGTGATAGAGATAAGTATGTTTTAAGGGAAAACTTTTACGAAAACTTATCACATATTTGCATATATCCGACTTGACTAAATTTGACCATACGTCCAAATAATATGTTTACAGTAGTCATTTTTTTCTTTAACAAGCCTAATTATTAGGTTTATTTTATTGTTATTGATGTTTTATATTATCCTCTACCTTCACAAAACCGTTGATCAGACCGTTAAGAATCATCCTGTATACTAATCTTAAAGAGGAAAGATTTGTATTTTTGTATGTATTGAAATAAGTCAATAACTACTGGGCCCATTTCAAAAATTCTTTCATAATTTAAAAGCTTCGTTACCACTGCGTAATATTTTTTATTATATGTATTTAATTCTACGGAGACGTTGTCTAAAACACCATTTACTAGTAAAATATAATTATTAACAATATAAATATACTTACACTCAGCAAATATTGAGATATAAACTTCAAAGATCTTCCAGTTAATGTTATATTATTCAGCTTGCCGGGCAAATCCCCGGTCATCTCTTTACCAAGGTCTATTTGTGGATCGTCAACTTCGATTTGTAGGTTTTCTAATGCAGCATTATATGTTACCAATTGTGGTATGTTGAAATCTCTTACACTTGGATACACATTCACTTTGAGTGTACGCAAACTAAACATTTTACTCAATACACCGTGCTGTAAAGAATACGTACGATGCCTTAGAACTAATATTATAAATGCGAAAGTTTAGATGGATGGATGTCTGTTAAAGTTTGTAGCCTAAACTACTAAAAGGATCTCGATGAAATTTACCATAGATGCAGATAGTCTGGAAGAACACATTGTTTACTTTTGTTTTTTAATTCTTGTAACATACCTCTAAAATATTTAGACGAAGTCGCGTTATATCCAGATATTCCAAACGTGGTGAAACTCCGTAAAGACTGGTATTCCTCAAGGCTGTGATAGGATTCCCTGATAATGAGAGCCAACGGAGATTGGTCAGCGAATGTGTTGCTTCTGGTACTTTTGTAAAGTCATTGTAAGATAAATCTAAAGCTCTTAGTCTAGTCAAGTTGCCTGTTGTCTCTGGTGATATCGAAGGTAAATTGTTATACGATAGATCTAAACTTTTTAATTTTGATAACGCCATTGATGGAATCTGAAAGAAATACATTGAAAACTTTAAATCATATCAAGAATTAAAAAGAATTAATTACACGCGTAGATTATACAGTTTGACAGTGGTAGAGTCCGATTTAATATCCTTGAACTGTAGGGTCAGCTCGCCAGGTGCAATAGCACGAAAATTGAGAAGACAGACGTGACGTGGAAGGAATTCCGCGTTTCGTTTGATCAGTGTGGTGCCAGAGGCCTAATCTTAGTCCCTTTCTTTTTCCACCTTTTTCTTATACAGAAAGGATGGGAAGGAAAAGTAGATTTGACGATTGAGGAAACGAATAGTAAGGGGAAAAGTCCCCTTGATGTGCGTCTCCTCTAAGGGTAGGCAATACAACTACATGTGCGGATATCTATGAGTAGCTTTCGCTTCCCTTTTTCGGAATTTCCTTGGAATTCAGGCGACGGCTAGCTCGTTTGTCACCTTATAATATATATAAAAAATACTTAAATTATTGCTAAATATGCCTAAAATACTTACAGATACTAAGCTAACGTTCTTCAAACCTAAATGAGATAATCTTCGTTCTAAACCCTTGAACATTGTGTTGACACGCTCGCTTGGGTTAAAAGGAGAGTTGTTACTCAAGTCCAACCAACGCAGTCTCGGTAACGCACCGAATGATCCGCCCTCGACACGGACCAAGTGATTATTGGATAAATCCAACCATGCTAGGGACTGAAAAAACAATTAAAAAGATATCTCATAAAAACAGTTAATATGGTTCTTGAGTAAAGTAGTAACAGCGCGCACATCTTTGACTAAACTATCGCACAACCGTTTAATCTTCGATTCCCATGAGCTTATATGGAGCGCACACTACTCGAATTTTAGTTGTCCAACTAATCAGTTTGATTGGTTGCAAAACAATCGACAATCGCACAACAGTTATCGGATTGTTTAGTCAAAGATGTGTACCAGCTCTAACCATCACCAAGCGCCGAATAAAATCATACTATTTGTATAAATAAAAAAAATAGTTGTAATCAAAACTAACTGAAAAAAGTACATACTTTACAAATCAACAAACAGAACAGTTTAATTACATAATTGCTACTAAAAAAAGTAAAAAAGACACAAAGAAAATAATACAGAAAGTTAGTAGAGACCCAAACAAATGAGAGTGCAAACACAAAGTTAGTACAGGATCTAACAGCGGTCTACCTTGTACAAAATATTCTGCGGGAATTGCTTTTTTTGATGGAAAACTCTGGTGTGATCCCGTCTAGCGGTGTGGTACATATATTCGTCGTTGTAGTCGTCGTGGTCCTCGGGCCAGTAGTCCTGGTCGGGGCTCTGGCGACATGCGGGGGCAAGGCCACAAGTTAGCTTAACTACGCACACACTGGCACAAACTACATTAGGGAGGAATGTCGCTTGTTTGTTTTTATACATGTCATAAAATATATTCAATAATGCTTTGATTTTAAAAGTAAAATAGATAAATGCTGTAGTTAACACACAATAACAATATATATTCAGAATCAGCGAATTTTAGATATGAAATAAATGATGGAGTATGCACAATTATATTTGTTAAACGTTTGGAAAGCCATCTTTTTGATAATAGCCCATTAATAGAGTATTTTATTGATATACAGTATATTATGTATGTATGTATTTTATATAATTTTACATAAAAAAAAATTCATACAACTATGCTACACTCCACTACGACACTCTATATATGTAACAGTGTGACACCGCACCCGCGGACAAATTATATGGTTTTTTCGGGGCCATATTTGTGCATTTTTTTAATTTGTGTTTTATGTATTATTTTCAATAAATAAAATAAAATAAAAATAATAGTAATTTTAATCTAGAACCGGTCTGAAAATCTTTTAATTTAAATTATTTTCAGAATTTGCTTTTATGTTTTTTTTCTAAAATGAAAACCTTAAATAGCTCTCCTGAACATTTCACATAATGGCGCTTAAAACAAATAGCCTTTCACCCATCGTATTTGCATAATTATATGTTATTTTGTAATACTGTTTAGTTTATTTTATAACAAAAGATGAAGCCAATTATAATTTTGTAAAAACGAGTTGGCACTAAACTTGACAACTAAGATAGATCCAGAGAAAGTACCGGTGAAAAAATTTTCTTCACTATGCCTCGTCTATATATTGTTTAAATATCTTTGTCAACATACTAGAAACAACAACAAAGAAGCGACATTTGATGAAATTCTCATAACAAATGAAATTTTAGTATAACATACATCAAAATACTTCACATAGACCATTGTACTTCATATTTACATTAACAATTTCAATATAAACAATACATTAGTACAAGCAAATGTTCAAAACTACTTAAACATGTTATTTTTCGATAGTTCGTGTTTCCCTTGGACAGTGCTAGTTCAAATTTATAGTTACCCTGAATCTTTGGACCAGATCTGTGATAGAAACTGCAGGAATTGTATTTCCACTGAGATCCAATTCTACCAAATTACCAGCAGCTGCATGAGATAGACAGTTAGTTGGGACTCTTGATAAATCGTTATTCGATAAGTCCAATCTGTTGAAATTTTATATTAAAATTAATCAATATATTATTATTGCAAACAGATAAATTAAATGCTTAAAGTTGACATGAACAAGTAACGGTTTTTTGTAGAAAATAAAATGATGATACAATACGCACTGACTTACGAGAAAAACTGATAACAGTAGAAAGTAATAATGTCGGATGATAGAGTTACGTGGAAGACAAAAACTTGTTGCGTCAAGTCCCCGGGAGTAGGAAAAGGTTGGAGGGATGATGAGTAGACATTTTAATTCTTACCTTTCAATTGACGGGGATATAATGAGGTTGTCAGCCAAGTTCTTGATACGATTGTCTGACAAATCAACAGAAGTCAACGCCAACATCTCGTGGAAAACTTCTATCGGCATTTCAATAAGGTCGTTATGGGATAGATCGACAATCTAGAAAAAAATAGAAATAGTTAGGTTCCCACCACTGGCTTATATATAAAGTCACTGCCAGATAAAGGAACAAAATCTGATATTTCCCTCACATATTTATATGTTGGGTTGTTATCAGACAATTTACCATTTGGTGGGCCATTAATCTTACTAATATAAATGCGAAAGTTTAGATGGATGAATGTTAGAATTTGTAGCTTAAATTACTGAACGGACCTCAATGAAATTTGGGTTGGACTTCTGTTTTTATTTTTTTAATTCCACGTAGATGGAGTCGCGGGTAAAAGATAATTTCTTCTTAATTAGCAATAATTAGGAATTTATAAATTTTGCTCTTACCTGGAGGTTTTTAACTTTCTTAAAGCAATCGTATTCCATGTGATATATTTGATTATGAGATAAATCTAGATATTGCAGCATCAGCATTGACCCAAACACTTCCCTCGTTATATTTCTAAGCAAGTTATGTGATAGATACAATTCTGATAGTGTCAGATCGGCATGCCTGAAATAGAACATTCGAGAATCAAATCGTTTGTTCCTATACAATTTGAATTTAAAAGTTAAAGTATTTAAAACTGTAGTAGCTATGAATGTGGAGGGGTACACCGGTAGAGGTAGACCTAGAAAGAGATGGATGGATCGCGTGAAAGGTGACATGATCAAGAAGGGAGTGACGACTGCGATGACGGATGATAAAGTGCTTTGGAGGACGAAAATCCAATGCGCCGACTCGACGGGAGTAGGATAAAGCAGGGGACATGATGATGATGACGATTTAAAATTGTAACAGCCTTACAAATAAACGCGGTATAAAGTTAAATTTAGGAATAAACTGAGTATAAGCAAAATTTTGTGATAATATTTTCTTTGTAAGGCTGTAATACTTTAGACAGCAAATACCGGCCTAAACATACAACTTAGCTGCACTACATAATTTTATTCGAATAATCTAGATTTAAACAATCTGAAATTTCTTACCTGAAGTAATACGGCGCGATGTATGTGATGTTGTTATGAGAGAAATCCAATACTCGTATATTAACCGTAACCGTTCCCATACCTGAAAAATTTAAAATCAAATAAATTCAATGAACATTTAAATATTTTTAACTTAATGATTCGATATATTATGTTGGATAAGTGCGGATAACGATTGTATTGGTTTTGATAAAAAAACAATAGGAATGGTAAAAGTAGGGTAAATGAGAAAAAATAGGGAAAACATGAAGTTGATTCACCTTCTTGGAGTGGAATCGCATCAGAAATCAACCCTTTAGATGCAAAGTAAGAAAAAAAATAGGAAGAAACAATTAGAAATTAACATAAAGAGATAAAATAATTGGGGATATTAAATATAATAAAATATACTTACTTTGAGGTTTTGGTGGTGGATAAAAATTAGATGAAAAGAATGTCGGTGCATTCGAGTCTGTGAGCGATGTAATGCGGTTGTAAGAGGCATTGACTTTCAACGCAGTGGCGGATCCCACTTGATCGAAAATGGAGAACTTGAAAGTTTCCAACCGATTAAACGATACATCCAATCTGAAAAAAAAACAACACAACCAGTATTAGGAAAACTGTTTTCATTCCATTCGAAACATTCCATTCATTCAACATTCGATTTATTCAACATTCAATTTATTCAACATTCAATTCATTCAACATTCAAACCATTCAGGAAAGAAGTCCGTTTACTTTTTTATTTATTTATTACTTGTTGTTCACGACTTCGTCCGCGAGATATTAAAAATATAGCTTATGTTGCTCTGATAACTTAGCTTTTTTTAATTCGGTTCAGTAGTTTTAGAGTTATCCTTATACATACAAAAACTAAATCTTTCCTCCTTGTGTAATTAGTATTGGAGAGTGAAAACTTACTCCTTCAGAGCGGGTAGATTTTGGAATGCTTCTTCAGTTATATCAATAATCCTATTTCCCCTGAGTTTGATAACTTTCAAGTTATCTAAACTAGTGAATGCACGTCTCTGAATGTTTTCAATTTGATTGTCCTCAATCAAAACTTCCTGCAGTTCTCTCAAGTCCACGAATGTATGTTGCGCTATTTGAGTCATTTGGTTCAGAGACAAACAAACGCTCTCCAAATATTTATGTATGTCTCCCTGAAACCATAACAAATTAAAACTTTAAAAAAATTGTAGAATATACAAGACAAATAACTTCAATAATTTTGGCCTTTTAAGACTGTAATTGCAGAATATAACAATAATTAAAACATTTTGCTTGTTAAGACACAAAATTGGTTTATTCCAAACTAGCTGTTGCTCCAGACTTCGTACACGTAGAATAAAAAAATTAGAAAAATACGTGTATGCCTATGTTACTCAGTGATAACATAGCTATTCATTGGTAAAATATTTTTGAAATCGGCCTAGTAGTTTTTGAATTATTTCAATACATATAAAAATACGAATCTATATTGATTTTTAAACAATTATTATAATTAGTTATTAGCTTTATTAATTTAAACACTGAACCACACTGAACTAGCCCTCAGGAATGCGCGCGAATATATCCATCCTTGTAATGACTTTGACAGCTGTCAGTTAGAGATGTGACGTTTATGCCAATAATCTAGTGTTGCGCCAATTCTATAGCGCGGTACTAATTGTCTTCTTAACATTATAATATTAGTATAGTTGATTTACCTGCAAAGTTCCTTTGGAGAAATGGTCTATCGAATTATCTTGCAGATTAAGCATTTTCAACTTATTTAAGAAATGAAAAGATGTATCCGGAACGTTTTTTATTTTGTTATTACTTAAATCTAAGTATTGCAGATCTATGAGCGCCTTTAAGGGTTCAAATGGGAGTATTTTGACCGAGTCATCTAAACCGTTTGCCATTTTAAGAGTTGTTAAACTGTGGAGCTGAAATATTTACATAAAACATTATTTATGAGATTAAGCCATATTCGGAAAACTTAGGTCCTGTCCCACCACTGGCTGATAGAGGCTCAGATAGCTTAAAAATGACGTCACTGTTAGATAAGGTAACAAAATACGATATTTCCATCACATTTACATGTTGGATTGTTATCAGACAATTTACAATGTGGTGGGATAGGACCTTAGTAACCAGGAAATACAATTTTACCTCAGCAAATGCGAAAGGGTCGATATAATCAATGTTGTTTTCAGATAAATCTAAAGTCTTGATCGTTCTGACGTACTGGAATGCGCTTGCTTCTATCTTATTTATCGTACTTCCATATATTTTTAGATCTTCAAGCTCCACACCGAATTCGAGAAAATCTTCAGCGCTGATACTCCTTCTAATTAATTTACTTACAGCGAGATATCTCAATGATCTCATTCTGAAAAAAATCCGACAAATTACAATAAACAAGCTAGCTGTTGCTCGCGACTTCGTCCGTGAGTAATTAAAAATAGTAAAAACATAGCCTATGTTACTGATAGATAAATAATTTTTCTAATGGTGAAAGAATTTTTGAAATCTTTCCAGTAGTTTTTGAGTTATTTGAATACGTACAAAAATACAAATCTTTCGTCTTGACAACATAAGTGTATACAAATAATTGAATTAGATCAAATTAAAATTATTTTGTCCAATATACTCTTGTCTTTTCTGAATTTTGGGTGGATCAAAGTAGTAACAGTGGAACTAAACTTGTCGAAGATTTTTTTTAAATAAACACTTACTTCCTTATATCCTGTAAACTGGTTTCCAATGACGACGAACCGCTTATATCCAAATAAAACAATTTATATTGGAAGTTATTGAAAGTAGTAGGAGTAAACTCCGATGGATTGTTTGTTGTGAGTAAATTGCTGTCCACCTGAAATTAAAATCAATAGAAATTTACGTTTATGCTTACTGACTTATGTTCTCACGCAATTCTAGAATAAGGTTGCTTACCTTATTCTCTCTCAAGTTCAGCAATCTAAGTGAATCTAATTTATTAAGCATTATCTTTGACAGCATGGTGAGGTTATTCTCAGAGAGATCCAAACTTTGCAGGCTGTTCTCTAATCCCGCGAATGACGCCGGCGATAGATCCGAAATGCTGCAGTCGCGAAGGGAAAGGGATTTTATCTTTGCGTTTCTGAACGCATCTTCCTGAAATAAAAACAAACAGGAACTAAAATTGTTGCCAAAAAAAGAATTAAAACCAGTTATAGAGAATTTAACAAACAACGTCAACAGATGTGTTTGCTTCAATAAAAATAAAGATTTTGGTAACTACACTTACCCTCAAGGAGTAAATAGGATTCCCATCCAAAGATGTGGAGTTCAATACATTAAAGTATTTGAAGGAGCCGGGCATTAAAGTCCCGATGAGATTGTGATCCAATCTGAAATAATATCAAAGTAAGATAAGAACGTAATATAATAAATAGATAGAAAAAGCAGAGTAATAAATAAACTCACTTTAAAGTGTCCAAGGACAATGTAACTCCGTTTAAATCATGGGTGGGAGGCACTTGTTTGATCACATTGTTGGAAAGGTCCAGGTATCTCAGCTGGCGGAGTGGAGCCAACTCCTCGTAGGGAATCAACGAGAGTTGGTTATCACTTAATAGAAGCTGAAAATAAAAAACTTTGGTTATAGACCTTGTAAGCGTGCAAATATATTAATACTAGCTTTCCCCCGCGACTCCATCCATCCATCTAAACTTTCGCATTTACAATATTAGTAAGAAGTAAGACTAGCTTTCATCCGTGACTCCGTCTGCGTAGCATTAAAAAAACAAGAGTGGGTAGCCTATGTGTTTATCCAGACTATCGTCTGCATATATACCAAATTTCATCTAAATCCCTTCATCTGTTTAGGCTACAAATTCTAACATCCATTAAAACTTTCTCTTTATAATATTAAGTAAGATAGTAAGGTGTATTTTTTCTAATTGTTAAAATATCTATTAGATAAGTTTCATTATCTTCCAGTTATCTATCAGTTGAGCTAATATACCTTATTCAGTCTATTCATTCCATCTCTAAACACCCCGCTATCGATGACAGCCAAGTTGTTTCCGTGCAGGTCGAGTACTTCGAGCACGGGCAGGCCGGAGAATGCGTCCAGAGGTAAGCTGGTGATTGAGTTCTCGGCCAGGACCAGCGTGTGCAGAGTGTTCTCCAGACCTCGCCAGTTGTCACCAGATATGTCCGTTATTTCGTTGCCTGGAATACGAAATAACACTTCGTATAAGTAGAGGTCTCTCTTTTGGATAAGAACGTTTCACTTTATAGGAAATATAAAATAGAAAAAAATGATTCTGTAATGAGGAATTCTTGGTACAAAAAAGTGACGTATAGCTTTGTTAATGTAATTCGTGGAAGTCGAGAAGAAGGTAAGAGGAGGAGGTTGCATAAATACGATAGTGTTGGTAAGGATCTCCAAATCTTCAATCTCTTTATAAGAAATGATCTAGACGTATCAGAAAAATGTTTCCAGAATAATGGAGAAATACGAATTGGAAAAAAAAACCGAAGAAAACGAGTAGATATCCGTACATCGAATCTGTCAAGGTAAGGTAAGAAGTAAATTAATTTGTTCCAAGGACAGGTATGCTGAACTAATGGTTGTAATAAATACTCTAGATTAACTTACGTAGGCAATTTGAATGGTAATTTATATCTATGCAAATTCAACCCTAAGGTATTTAACAATTGAAACACAACCAATTAATTAAGTTAAATTCCTGTCCGTGAATTTATGGACATAAACATTGATCATCAAATTCAAAGGATTCCATTGAAATTTGCAGATTGGGATTTAATATATCAAAAATTAAACGATCAAACATCAATGGTTAGAGAGTTTTGACTGGAACTGACTGGACTGGAATTTATTACAATAACAGTAAATTCAACTTTCAAACCATATAAGACTACGTGCTTCTCAATGTCAATAAGAAAATAAAAATGTTATCAACGAAATTAATTAAAGCATTAAATCCACTCACCCGTCAGATCCAGCAACCTCAATTTCTGTAGATATCTCAGCGCCCTGCTCGGCACCGCCGTCAACTTGTCGTATTTCAGTTCCAGTTCCCATAATGTATTATCAAGTCCGTAGAACGCTTCCTCGTGTACACTCTCCAAGGGGTTCTGGTTTATCGCCAGTCTGTAGAGACCTGAAATTGATTGGAAACAAGATTAAACCATGTACAGTCGCATTCAATCGCAGTGCTCCGTTTACAGAAACGTCGAGTTACCATTTGAGTACTATTAATGATTTGGATTCTCATTTACAATTTTAGTATTAATTTGATGTGCAAAACGCTATTTTTAGCGAGTTCTATTCAAGGTATACAAGATATTCGAACAATTATGGCTTTAGAGGCATGGTATCACCAATGTACGCGATTGT